ACAATTGTGGATACTGTCATTAACTGCAGCTGTTGGTACTGCGGTGACATACAGTTATGGATACTGTCAATAACTGCAGCTGTTGGTACAGTGGTGACATACAATTGTGGATACTGTCAATAATTGCAACTGTTGGTACTGCGGCGACATGCAATTGTGGATATTGTCAGTAACTGCAGCTGTTGGTAGTGCGGTGGCATACAATTGTGGATACTGTCAATAATTGCAACTGTTGGTACCGTGGTGACATACAATTGTGGATACTGTCAATAACTGCAACTGTTGGTACCACGGTGATATACCAAAATTGATACTGTCAATAACTGCAACTGTTGGTACAACTGTGATGTACAAAAATGGATACTGTCAATAACTGCAACTGTTGGTACCGCGGTGACATACAATTGTGGATACTGTCAATAACTGCAACTCTTGGTACCATGGTGACATATAAATGTGGATACTGCCAATAATTGCAACTGTTGGTGCTGCGGTGACATACAATTGTGGATACTGTCAATAATTGCAACTGTTGGTACCGCGGTGACATACAATTGTGGATACTGTCAATAATTGCAGCTGTTGGTACCGCGGTGACATACAATTGTGGATACTGTCAATAACTGCAACTGTTGGTACTGCGGTGACATACACATGTGGATACTGTCAATAATTGCAGCTGTTGGTACCATGGTGACATACAAATGTGGATACTGTCAATAACTTAAACTGTTGGTACTGCAGTGACATGCAATTGTGGATACTGTCAATAAATGCAGCTGTTGGTACTGCGGTGACATACAATTATGGATACTGTCAATAATTGCAACTGTTGGTACCGTGGTGACATACAATTGTGGATACTGTCAATAATTGCAACTGATGGGACCACGGTGACATACAAAAATGGATACTGTCAATCATTGCAACTGTTGGTATCACGGTGATATACAAAAATGGATACTGTCAGTAACTGCAACTGTTGGTACTACGGTGACATACAATTGTGGATACTGTCAATAATTGCAGCTGTTGGTACTGTGGTGACATACAATTGTGGATACTGTCAATAATTGCAGCTGTTGGTAGTGCGGTGACATACAATTGTGGATACTGTCAATAATTGCAACTGTTGGTACTGCGGTGACATACAATTGTGGATACTGTCAATAATTGCAACTGTTGGTACCGTGGTGACATACAATTGTGGATTCGGTCAATAATTGCAACTGATGGTACTGCGGTGACATACAAAAATGGATACTGTCAATCATTGCAACTGTTGGTACAACTGTGATGTACAAAAATGGATACTGTCAATAACTGCAACTGTTAGTACCGCGGTGACATACAATTGTGGATACTGTCAATAACTGCAGCTGTTGGTACTGCGGTGACATACAAGGGTGGATACTGTCAATAACTGCAGCTGTTGGTACTGCGGTAACATACAATTGTGGATACTGTCAATAATTGCAGCTGTTGGTACCGTGGTGACATACATTTCTGGATACTGTCAATAATTGCAACTGTTGGTACTTCGGTGATATAGAAAAATAAATACTGTCAATCATTGCAACTGTTGGTACCACTGTGATATACAAAAGTGGATACTCTCAATAACTGCAACTGTTGGTACCGCGGTGATATACAATTGTGGATACTGTCATTAACTGGAGCTGTTGGTACTGCGGTGACATACAATTGTGGATACTGTCAATAAATGGAGCTGTTGGTGGTGCGGTGACATACAATTGTGGATACTGTCAATAACTGCAACTGTTGGTACCGTGGTGACATACAATTGTGGATACTGTCAATAATTGCAACTGTTGGTACCACGGTGACATACAATTGTGGATACTGTCAATAATTGCAACTGATGGTACCGTGGTGACATACAATTGTGGATACTGTCAATAACTGCAACTGTTGGTACTGCGGTGACATACACATGTGGATACTGTCAATAATTGCAGCTGTTGGTACCATGGTGACATACAAATGTGGATACTGTCAATAACTTAAACTGTTGGTACTGCAGTGACATGCAATTGTGGATACTGTCAATAAATGCAGCTGTTGGTACTGCGGTGACATACAATTATGGATACTGTCAATAATTGCAACTGTTGGTACCGTGGTGACATACAATTGTGGATACTGTCAATAATTGCAACTGATGGGACCACGGTGACATACAAAAATGGATACTGTCAATCATTGCAACTGTTGGTATCACGGTTATATACAAAAATGGATACTGTCAGTAACTGCAACTGTTGGTACTACGGTGACATACAATTGTGGATACTGTCAATAATTGCAGCTGTTGGTACTGTGGTGACATACAATTGTGGATACTGTCAATAATTGCAGCTGTTGGTAGTGCGGTGACATACAATTGTGGATACTGTCAATAATTGCAACTGTTGGTACTGCGGTGACATACAATTGTGGATACTGTCAATAATTGCAACTGTTGGTACCGTGGTGACATACAATTGTGGATTCGGTCAATAATTGCAACTGATGGTACTGCGGTGACATACAAAAATGGATACTGTCAATCATTGCAACTGTTGGTACAACTGTGATGTACAAAAATGGATACTGTCAATAACTGCAACTGTTAGTACCGCGGTGACATACAATTGTGGATACTGTCAATAACTGCAGCTGTTGGTACTGCGGTGACATACAAGGGTGGATACTGTCAATAACTGCAGCTGTTGGTACTGCGGTAACATACAATTGTGGATACTGTCAATAATTGCAGCTGTTGGTACCGTGGTGACATACATTTCTGGATACTGTCAATAATTGCAATTGATGGTACTTCGGTGATATAGAAAAATAAATACTGTCAATCATTGCAACTGTTGGTACCACTGTGATATACAAAAGTGGATACTCTCAATAACTGCAACTGTTGGTACCGCGGTGATATACAATTGTGGATACTGTCATTAACTGGAGCTGTTGGTACTGCGGTGACATACAATTGTGGATACTGTCAATAAATGGAGCTGTTGGTGGTGCGGTGACATACAATTGTGGATACTGTCAATAACTGCAATTGTTGGTACCGTGGTGACATACAATTGTGGATACTGTCAATAATTGCAACTGTTGGTACCACGGTGACATACAATTGTGGATACTGTCAATAATTGCAACTGATGGTACCGTGGTGACATACAATTGTGGATACTGTCAATCATTGCAACTGTTGGTACTTCGGTGACATACAAAAATGGAAACTGTCAATCATTGCAACTGTTGGTACAACTGTGATAGACAAAAATGGATACTGTCAATAACTGCAACTGTGGGTACCGCGGTGACATACAATTGTGGATACTGTCATTAACTGCAGCTGTTGGTACTGCGGTGACATACAATTATGGATACTGTCAATAACTGCAGCTGTTGGTACAGTGGTGACATACAATTGTGGATACTGTCAATAATTGCAACTGTTGGTACTGCGGCGACATGCAATTGTGGATATTGTCAGTAACTGCAGCTGTTGGTAGTGCGGTGGCATACAATTGTGGATACTGTCAATAATTGCAACTGTTGGTACCGTGGTGACATACAATTGTGGATACTGTCAATAACTGCAACTGTTGGTACCACGGTGATATACCAAAATTGATACTGTCAATAACTGCAACTGTTGGTACAACTGTGATGTACAAAAATGGATACTGTCAATAACTGCAACTGTTGGTACCGCGGTGACATACAATTGTGGATACTGTCAATAACTGCAACTCTTGGTACCATGGTGACATATAAATGTGGATACTGCCAATAATTGCAACTGTTGGTGCTGCGGTGACATACAATTGTGGATACTGTCAATAATTGCAACTGTTGGTACCGCGGTGACATACAATTGTGGATACTGTCAATAATTGCAGCTGTTGGTACCGCGGTGACATACAATTGTGGATACTGTCAATAACTGCAACTGTTGGTACTGCGGTGACATACACATGTGGATACTGTCAATAATTGCAGCTGTTGGTACCATGGTGACATACAAATGTGGATACTGTCAATAACTTAAACTGTTGGTACTGCAGTGACATGCAATTGTTGATACTGTCAATAACTGCAACTGTTGGTACCGTGGTGACATACAATTGTGGATACTGTCAATAATTGCAGCTGTTGGTACCACGATGACATACACATGTGGATACTGTCAATAATTGCAACTGTTGGTACTGCGGTGACATATACAGATGAATACTGTCAATAACTGCAACGGTTGGTACTGTGGTGACATACACATATAAATACTGTCAAAATTCTGTCAATAATTGCAACGGTTGGTACTGCGGTGACATACACATATAAATACTGTCAATAATTGCAGCTGTTGGTACCGCATGACATACAAGTGTTTATACAGTCATGTCTTGCAACTGTTGGTACCGCTGTGACTTACAAATGTGGATATGTTTGTGAATTAAAACTGTAGACACGGCCATTTTATCGGTCGCTGCGTTTAAAGATACCAATTTCACATACAACTGTATATACTGCAGGGACATATCTGCCAGTGTGAAATACCATTTACCGTAGTTACCGTGTTGACATACAACTGTGTGGCGACCGACGTTACTTACGGGCCCAAACATATAACTGTTAATCTGTGTCGCTTCTTACAACTGTAATATGCTTGCTCAACAGCTAACCTATAACCACACACCACCTGTCAAACAAGTGAATGTGTGAACGCAGAAGGCTACCTATCAAACCAGCCGTACAATAGCACATATCAATCAGAAAACCTGTTAACACAATTGTATACTCAAACTAATAACTTGTCTCTTCAAGTTCTGCTACAAATTTACCAATAACGCGCATGTATACCCATCTCAGTTGCCTTCCAGTATATCGTGTTCATCACCTTCTCTCTACTTCCAAGGAATATGGCCTACAACAAAATGGTAAGTATGTGATCTAGGTATAGGCTCCCCTACCTGTAGTCCCATGCCCTTGCCCTTCTTTTTCTTGCAGCACAGCGCCATGTTGAGTTGAAGTCAGAGCTGACCTAGAACAGCTGCTAGGTGCCGATCGTCTTGGAGAAGGATCTTGGTTTCTTTTCTCGGCTGGTCTGAACAATATAATGAATATTTTAAGGAAATCTTAAAACAACGAATGAATCTGTTCATTATTGATGGAAACGGTTCCTCAATTGGTATTGGGGTGGTAAACAGTTTTCACTTTGGGTCTACGGCGGAGTGAGGCGTGTGGAGTAAGCCACGAATACGTCTGGGTTACGCTGTCTTGACCCAGTGCTGCTGGCATTCGCTTTCGTAAATGTATCGAACGAACAACACTTAAAAAGTAATAGTTGCTGCGCTACATCTGATTTAATGTATTGCCACTTTTTCTGTTGTAGAGAGTTAGTGAGTATAGTTTTACGCCGTTTTTAGCAATATTCCAGCAATATCACGTCGGGGGACACCAGAAATGGGCTTCACACATTGTACCCATGTCGGGCTACCCGACCGCCCTTTTTCTGTTGTAGAATTCAGTGGAGTTTGCTTACCTGACTTTTAGTTGTAAATTTTACGCGCCATCTATTTGCAAGATTTTCCATCATGATATTTTGTGTTAAAATATATTAAAAGATTTTATCACAGTTGTTAATATTGATAAACTCTTTCTAATTAAAAAATCTCACATCAACTGCTCACTACTCCCTCAAAAGTAAAACACGAAAGCACTGCAACGGTTGAGCAGTATTTCCACACTTGTCTCAATGTGTTCAGTTCCAGTGATTTTGTTGGTCAATTTATGGTGACGGAAATAGCATTGTTTTCTCTTTTTTACATCCTATCATATGACCGTTGGGCATATACATTTGGCTATACATCACAACTGACAATATATTTTCACTTATCGTTTGACGTGTTGCTTTATGAGTCATAACTGTAAACATGACTTTGGAGAGATCGCCGTCATATGCGTAAAATAAACACAAATGAACAATGTGCCGCATTGAGAAAGCAAAATAATGACAGATGGTCATTTATGGAGTTATTTCGCTTCTTGTCGTTTGTTATTCTCTTAAAAATGTTTCGTAAAAAAACAGTAAATTTCTCATTAAACTCGTCAATCGAGACTGTTCGTTTCGTAAAGCGCCATTACTCGACAAGCGTTTATTTTTACGCTTACAACAACAGTCTCGTAGATTATAAGAACATTTTTGTTGTGGTTGATTTTGTGTATAATGATATCCAAATGTATGATAAAGAATGTTATTGATATCAAATATTTTTTGTAACTTTTGTTTATATTTTTGCAAACACGGAACTACTTTACAAGAGGTGGTGAACGTCCCTACGTGTTAGGAAGGGTTACGTTTCACGGTTTTACATTTGTTATGAAATAATCCCATAATCCGTAGTCAAAAAATACACAAAAGTATATCATAAATAGGGTATTCTATGTGTGTCGTGAAATATCATGTCTCTCTCATCTCGTGACGGTGGAACGGAGATATTTTCACTCGTGGCATAACCACAAGTGAATATATCCCATTTCTCCCGTCACTCGATGAAGGAAACATGATATTTCACTCGACACATCGAATATCCTATCTATATATTCAGCGTGTATGACCGTGTTAACTTATTATCAATAACTACGCGGATTCCTACAGTTTGCACATCGGTTTTTCGATTCATACCTCAATGAACACAGTCAATCCTTGATAGAATGGTTGTATTCTTGTTAGAAATATTAATAAACGTATTTGGAATGTCACTTGTAGAGTAATATTCAAAAGGGGAATTATTATTTATTTGTTGACACAGGTATGAGTGCCATATTATAAACAATAATAATATATACATTGGAAATCTAACAGCTGCATGAAGTGGACATACTTCTAACAACGTAAGAGTGAGATGATAGTCATTCTTGTACAACAACAATACCTAAACAAATGTGGCCATCTTCAAACACATTAATAATGCCATGCCAAACAAATGCTCCCTCAGAACCCATCCACTTGTTACTTCTTTCAACCATACATGGAAGTTTATAGTTAAATAATTGACATTCATGATGGTATTAAGTGCAAACATGGTAAACATGCAGAGGTCACAAAAGTTTATGTTCCCATGACCGCCTTTTAACAGATCAAGGTCGATAACCCCTGAACGCATGTCAAACTTGAATTAATGGAGCCTTAAGCGCTTTTGTGGACGATACATATATTACAGTATCTGATATGGTTATAGATTTTAGGAAACTACTGAAAAGTATCTTGTATGTCCTGGTATCTATGGTTAACCTTATCAGGATGAGTCATTAACTGATATGTTAATTTCCCTTGATACTGTGGGTACGTTTAACTGTAAACAATAATCCTTGTGGTAGAGTGGTTTGAAATTGCCATGATTCATCTAGTATTATTAGCTAATGAAATCAAATATGGTCAAGTATTGTTACGCATTTATTCAAAATCTAATGCTGTGTGGTGTTTATTGCAGAAAGAAATCGAAATTAGAAAACTCTTTTTTTCGTCTGCCATTGCCATTTTGCTCATATGGGCTATTTCAAACAAACTTAATAGCTTTCACATTATAAATTTTACAATGCAGAGTATGCTGTTTCCACTTGTCCGGAACCCCGTGTGTCTTGCGGTCAGTATCATATCAGATTTACATGCTGTTTCACGTTACTTCCCACTTATCTTACAACAGTCTCACATATGAGTCTTAAAGTACGTGAGTTTTAGAAATCCGTTGGAGTTAAAACAGCGTCGTCACCTATAAGTTTATATCCCATGGTGATGTATTTTTATTTGTCAGATAACTGCATTTGTATTGCATTGCTTTAAACCTGTCATTTATTGTATTATGTTAGATAGACGTAATCCACCAACATGTAATATTTTCAAAGCAGGGATATAAGTTAGCACTTTTTTCAGAAAATAGGCAAAACATTCAACCAACATTAGTGTTCTGCTTTTATGCGAGTCTCTTACATGTATGATGACAAATGTAAGAGCCTCTTACAATTTGTATAGTGTTGAATGCCAAAGCCATGATGCATTAATTACAATGTATGTGATCCTTTGTCGCCAGTCCCGTCGTTACGTTTTCTCATCGGGAACAGGTTACTTGAGTTAGATATTTTATTATATCTGCAATAAACGTTTACCGGCAATGGCTGACGTGAGTCAACTATACCTCTCTGCTGAATAGTTCATGATAAGATGCATTGCGCAAATGATGTTTTGACAAGTCTTCAAAAGCAATAATGTTATTGATTTCCAAGACTAATGATCACTTTGACAAGGAAACAAAGCCCATTTGTTGTGACCTTACTTCATTGGTGTCAAATGGAGTAACCAGAGACCATGGCGGTCATGTTCTGTGTATATCATTATTCAAAAGTAGACATGCATGCAGGTAAGTGTTCAACAGAAGACATGTCAGTGGATCCTTATTCAACAGAAGACCTGTAGGTGGATCATTATTCAACAGAAGACATGTCAGTGGGTCATTATTGAACAGTAGACCTGTAAGTGGATCATTATTCAACAGTAGACCTGTAAGTTGATCATTATTCAACAGTAGACCTGTAAGTGGATCATTATTCAACAGAAGACCTGTAGGTGGATCATTATTCAACAGAAGACATGTCAATGGATTCTTATTGAACAGTAGACATGTAAGTGGATCATTATTGAACAGTAGACCTGTAAGTGGATCATTATTCAACAGTAGACCTGTAAGTGGATCATTATTCAACAGTAGACCTGTACGTGGATCATTATTCAACAGAAGACATGTCAGTGGATTCTTATTGAACAGTAGACCTGTAAGTGGATAATTATTCAACAGAAGACATGTCAGTTGGTCCTTATTGAACAGTAGACCTGTAGGTGGATCATTATTCAACAGAAGACATATCAGTGGGTCCTTATTGAACAGTAGGCCTGTAAGTGGATCATTATTCAACAGTAGACCTGTAAGTGGATCAATATTCAACAGTAGACCTGTAAGTGGATCATTATTCAACAGAAGACATGTCAGTGGATCCTTATTGAACAGTAGGCCTGTAAGTGGATCATTATTCAACAGTAGACCTGTAAGTGGATCACTTTTCAACAGAAGAGATGTCAGTGGATCATTATTCAACAGTAGACCTGTAAGTGGATCACTATTCAACAGAAGACATGTCAGTGGATCATTATTGAACAGTAGACCTGTAAGTGGATCATTATTCAACAGAAGACATGTCAGTGGATCCTTTTTGAACAGTAGACCTGTAAGTGGATCATTATTGAACAGAAGACATGTCCGTGGATCCTTATTGAACAGTAGACCTGTAAGTGGATCATTATTCAACAGAAAACATGTCAGTGGATTCTTTTTGAACAGTAGACTATTAGGTGGATCATTATTCAACAGAAGACATGTCAGTGGGTCCTTATTGAACAGTAGACCTGTAAGTGGATCATTATTCAACAGAAGACATGTCATTGGATCCTTATTGAACAGTAGACCTGTAAGTGGATCATTATTCAACGTAAGACATGTCAGTGGATTCTTATTGAACAGTAGACCTGTAAGTGAGTCATTATTGAACAGAAGACATGTCAGTGGATTCTCATTGAACAGAAGGCCTGTAAGTGGATCATTATTCGACAGTTGGCCTGTAAGTGGATCATTATTCAACAGAAGACATGTCAGTGAATTGTTATTGAACAGTAGGCCTGTAAGTGGATCATTATTTAACAGTAGACATTATGTGGATCATTTTTTTTATATAGACATGCATGTAGATCATTATTCAACAGAAGACATGTACAAGTATGCGGGCCATAATTCAATACTAAGACAAAGTCGACTAAAATACGATATGAAATTTAAGGCATATCCTGGTGAAAATTCAATAGTATGAGGTACTGGGAACATGTATGTTAGACCTACAGGTTTCTACGCCAATCGAAATCAATGTAAGCTCCAAACCTACCAAGTGTATAAACAGTGTAACTTTCTACAGTTAAGCGTTGAGTTGACCTAACAGTTACATTCCTACATGTATATCATGAGTAGATAGTAAGGGATACAAGCATCAATGAGATATCAA